TGATAATTGCCATGGCTCATTTCCAGTTTCTTTTTTATATCTTTTGTATAAATTGGAACGAATCTTATCTGTCAAAACGCTTGGTAACCCACTTAATTTGGCATGCCAATCCAGATACTCAGGTGTTAACACTTTATTGGACTTGGTCATGTTGCTTTTTATATGATCGCAAATCAATTTAAATTACAGTAGGTAATAGTCAACATAAATTAGTTCTATAAAAAAATGTCACAATGAAGTGTAAGTAAATATATTCAGATTATGCAGTTATCTCAATTTCGCGCTGTTCACATTTAATAAAGTAAGATCCAGCTTTATATCTAATCTACCTTCTAAACTTTCCTCCTCATCATGCTCTAACTCACATAATGGGCATATTTTCTCATTGGTAATTCCATAATAATCGAAATTTTCACTACTAAATTCTCTATATAAATCGGGATATTGATCCAATGTCTTGTTGCGAAAATAGGATCAGTCATAAGTTAGATTAATCCCAAGAATTGATGCAGTTGCTTGAGGTGTGACTGATGAAAGGTCATGACTTTGATCGTTACCAATGGTAACGGTTTTTGAGGTCACATGACTCTGATCGTTACCATTGGTAACGGTTTTATCATTCACATAATATTTTGAATTTGGGTATTGGTTAATCTAGAAATATCACTCGCGTTACAAGTGACTAACTTAATTCTATCTATCCCAACCCCTTTTTCTCCAAATAGCATAAGAATATTTTTAGCTCTATGTGTTCGGATTCGCAAATTACCCAGAGTGATATTAGGTAAATACTGCAACATATCTTTGTATATCATTGATCTTGCTGTCTTATCTTTAGTCTTACCACCAGCTGTAATATTTTTTACTTTTTCTTCGAACTCAAAGGAATAATGATACAAACATAAGATTTCTTTTAGACCCACTCTTATAGCCTCATCAATCCAATAAGCTAATCTCTGCGTAGAGCTCTCATTCGCATTGTTTAAGATGGACTTATCATGTAGTTCAACTGATGCTACTGAAGAAATAGGTCTAGAAAGATCACGCTTTAAAATTTGTTCAGTAACTTGATTTCTATCAAGTGGTTGTGTAGCAATTGGCTCAGATGTTTCATCTAATAAGGCATTCTCGCTATCAGTACAAGTGATCATTTTTGTGTCGCATGATAAGTTATCCTGGGACATTTTAGTGTCCACCCCCTCAATAGCTGTCGATGCAGAGATATCATCACTTGTGCCGAGAGATAATTCCAAATCTTGATCGTTACCATTGGTAACAGTTTTTTTGTCACGTAATAATTTTGAATCTACTGAATTGTTAATTGTTTCAGTATCGGACGGTAAGTCAGAAGTAACTTCCTGGACTTGATTTTTAGCTGATTCGCTGAAGTTTCTTCTCCTTATTGTGTTGCCTAATATCTTCGCTGACGATTTTCTTATGCTTCTCATTCAAGAAATCATCTATCACTTTATCATCCAAAGGTTTCCATGATGGTCTACAGCCGAATTAAAGTTAGATAAGTTGTTATTAGGAGTATCATCATCTTGCAACTGCTTCTGTTCCAATTTCGCAACTCTATCATTATTATCCTCAATTCTAGCATCACGTTGGTTATTTTCTTCTATCATCTGCTTCATAAACTCCGCATTTCTGGCCTCTATCTCAACATTCCTAGCTTCAACCTCAGCAAGCTTCTTTTTAAATTCAGGGATCTCAGAATTCTTGGTCTCAAGTTCAGCTTTAAGCTCAGCTTTCTCAACCTCAAGCTCGGTAATACGTTGCCTCAATGAATCTATTTCGGTTTGCATGTCTGTGTATTATCAAAATGTTAGTATTCAAAATCGGTGAAAATTGGTAGATTATTTAGTCAACCATAAACTGGTTTACGGTTTTTTTGCCAAGAAATATTTTAATCTCATCAGTATCAATACTATATGACCATATTTCCTGGAGCTGGCTCTGTTCTTCAGTATCACATGGTAATTCTATTAAGCTTAAAATTTGTGGGAGATCCTTTTTCTTATAAATTCAGCTCAAAAAATGAAAGCTATCTCAATAAGCTAATAGGGTAAGCAAGCAGGGTTAGCTATTTTCTGCAATGCCAAAGATACAAGGGAGGGTGAATAGCTACCAGGATTTTTAATCAGAAAAAATGAAGAGACGGACGCTGTGTATGGATCAGCAAATTCTTCTGAGCTGGTGATCACTGCTCCAGACTAGTCAGAGTACCTATAATCATTGGAGGAGTCATACTATCACTATAACCATCTTCATCCTCTGATTCAGTCTCAGAGCTTGATGACTCCGTTTCAGTGTATTCTGAATCATAATACTCACTTAGATCAATATTTCTCATAACTTTATGGTGTTTGAAAAATTTGGTTAATATGACTTCTCCATCTGAATCTGTTGCAATAAATTCGGGAAATAATAGCTCGTAGAATGTATGCAATGAAAGAGGTAATTCCCAAAGATTTTTTCTACAGCGATATTGTCTTTTTTCCCTTTCTTGTTCTTCGATCTCTTTAGGTTTATTAACGTACCATGATGGGGTTTGATATCTGTTAACAGCATATCCTGTATGCATTAGCCATACAGTTCCTAAAACCAAATCATATTCTGGCTTGTCAACAACTACAAAATTTGCTGTATCTTTTCCAAAATATGAAGGGGTACTATATCATCAAAGATATTTGGCAAAGCGACTGAAACTTCTTCTCTATCAACCCATCCCCTTCTCATCACTTGCTTGCTAGCATTTGTTGCACCAATACCTAGGTCTTTTACTGCAGGATATCCTGATCCATATTCTCTAAAAATATATAAATCCATTTTTTGGGCAAGCGTCTTACTAATGCTACCATGAAAGGATTTGGGACCAATAAGTGCTTTAACAGTTACTTTAGCTCGAATGAATGTACAATCCACTATTAATCTTTTGCAAATTTCTCGAATCACCTCATCTTTCCATATATTATTTATACTGCAACATTTTTTAAGATTCTGTATTGAAAGATTTTTTGGTGTAAGCTGATCAAGTAAATTAACTGTATGCATTTTATATAATTTGGAGATTTTCAATCAAAAAAAATAAGGCACAATCTGTGGCTCAGTAAAAAATCTTTCGAGCTGAAGATTACTATTCTGGAATGATGATCTGTATTCTGGACTCGAAATTTTCCACATTAAATATATTACTTTATTATAGCAATCTCATGACAAATAATAGCGAAACACTTGCTCAGTTTTATGAAGTGCTTTTATATAAGAAGAAGGATATAGTAGCTATTCAGAAAAAACTCGGTATCAATGGTAATGCAAATAAATTAGTAGTACCTCCAGATTCTGAGCTCATGGGGAAAACTCTTGCTGATTCATATGAGCTGTTGTTAGAATTGGTAGGGGATTTAATGCTGATACAGGAGAATCTCAACATTAATGGTAATTCTGTTCTAGAAGTGAAATATCAAAGTAATGAGGCTTTCACAGATATTTTATTAAAGGAGATATTTAATTTGCTTATGTATTTAGAAGACGATATAATAGCAATTCAAGAAAAACTTAATATTGTTAGCTACACTAATCAAGAAATAGCAGAAGAGGCCTATAAAACTGCAAGAGAATATCTTCGAAAGTTTGAAGAATATCATAGCCACTTAGAAGATATTCCAAGTATATTAATACAAAAATTCATCGATAGAGGAGTAAAAATGTTTTATTTTACTGGAGAGGGACTACCTTTATTCCCAAAGGTCTCTCCTTAACAATTGCATGAAATATTCGTCAAAAATCCATCTAGTGCCAGCTAGTGCCAATGTCTAGAACAGGTTAGCTAATTTATATTTTTTTTCTTACACAAGACATATCTAGATGTGAAAAAATTCTTCCGACTGATGATCACTATTCTGGATTAGTTAGATTAGTAGAGTTTCACTATTCTAGCTCGATCAGCTAGTATTCTATCAAAATAATTCCTTGGTGCTTATCTGTTTATAGCTATAATAGGGTGATCAGCACCAGAGTCAACTGTCATAAATATATTGGAATTAGGTTGTCGGAATGTCTGGTGAAACTGAGTGCTAATAGAAACTGAAGGCTGTGTTGATATTAGCTCTACCACTCGCTCTATTTTAACTTGAATATCATTCGGATCCTGGTAATTCTTGAAATGGGTATGTCGATTTAGCTGATCTATGACTTCTTTGCTAATTTTAAAACACCTTTTCAGATTTAGATATTTTAAATTAAGACTTGATTTAGCAATTTCTTCGATAGTTACAGTCAACAACCAAAATTATGCTGACACTTTTTAAATCAAAAATTTATATAAATAAAATAAAGTGGAAATAAAACAAAAGGTAAATTTTATTTATTTTATTTTTATTTATTGATT